AGTTACTGGTGGCCAGGTGTCACTTGTGGGACAGCTATTTCTTTGAAATCCACTCTGTAGAATCAGATGGAATCATGACCCATAGGTGGAAGAGAAGTCCATTTGTAGAGTGTGCTGATGGAAATATTTTGCTGCTGAACACAAAAGAATAACTGAAAGACTACTACTATGTACCTCTTATTCTCCTGTGTTTGTTTGCCCTATTTGGCAGGTTCTTTCCATTCTCATTCATGGGCTGTGATCAATTTGCTCCCTCTCTAAAACATCATTTAGTAGTTTGTGTAGGCTTGGCTTTGTCATCATGAAATTCTTCAGTTGTTCTTTGTCATGGAAGTATTTTACTTCTCCATTATACTTGAAAGAGAGTTTTGCAGGGTATATCAGTCTGAGTTGAAATTTGTTTTCGTGAAAGACTTAAAGTACTTTGCTCCATGCTCTTCTTGCCTTCATGGTTTGTGAAGAGAAGTCTGCTGTTATTCTGATGGGTTTTGCTTCAAATGTGATCTGCTTCTTTTATTTAGCAGCTTTTAGTATACTGTTTCTGTGCTGAATTTCTGGGATCTTGATTATTATACGTCTTGGTGTGGTTTTAATTGGGTTGATGGTATTTGGAGTTCTATATGCTTCGGTTACCTGAATGTCAGATTGTTTCCCCATATTTGGGAAGTTTTCAGCTATTACTTCTGCCCATATTCTTTTTATATCATTTGTATTGACTCCTTCCTTCTCATTGATGCCTATTAATCTCATATTGTTCATCTTTGCATCATCTTGCAGGTATTGAATTATTTTTTCCTGCATCCTAGTTGTTTCTGAAAGATCTTTTCTTACTTTTTCACTAGCTGCAATGGGGTCTTTCAGGTCAGAAAGTCTATTTTCACTTTCCCTCAAACGGTTTTGCCAGCTTGTGATTGAGGTTTTAATTTCCTTTATATCACTTTGAATCTGTTTCATACACTCTATTTTTTTCCTAAATTGCTTATTCAGGGGTTCCATCTTTTTATATTCTGCTCTATTTTTTTTTATCAGTGTATTCTTTAGAAGCACTTAGTACTTCTTTGATTATAGTTATACTATAATTATACTACATTTTTTAGTTCAGAAATTATTTCTGATCTGATTTCTTTTATACCTTTGTGCAGTTGTTTCTTTACTTCCAACACTGCTATTTCAGAGACATCAGGTGTGTGATTTCCAGTTTCCTCTATGCTAGTGTCCTCTGCATTTGTACTGGGTAGACTCGGGGCCTGAGACTGCATTTTGTTCCTTCTCTTTGTCATTTTGTATACCACTGTCTTCTGACTTTTGGTGTAGAGCTTAGATAGAATTATTACCTTAGCACCAGGTCCGAATCTATGAAGTTCAGATCCCTCCAAGTGGGTGTTGCTTGGATCTGGCTGGAGTCTTGCTGCTGTGCTCCACTTCTTTCTGCTACTGCCATTGAAGTTTAACCTTTTGTGTCACTCTGGCAAGATGATCTGCTCCTGAATCAGCTGGGTGGGTCTTGTGTCTAGCCTCTTTGCGGGGAGTTTCGCTGAAGGGTTCAGCACCGGGCCTGCGCTCTGGGTTTATTCGGGATCTGGTGGCCCCAGGCCATCTCACTCACTCCATGTACTAATAGTGTTTAGACAGGATATAAGGTCTGCATCTTGTACTATGAATAACTACTACGAAGACAATATTCAATGTGTGAATTATTGTAACTGTCCTACTAACCTGCTTTGAAACTGTCTCATTGCTATTTCTTTCTCAGTAAAATTAATATAAAAAAGAAATTCTTTGACACGATACAGTATGGCTGAGCTTTGAAGATGCTATGTTATATGAAATAGTCAGTCACAAAAGGACAAACACTGTATACTTCCTAGGGTAGTCAGATTCATAGAGTGAAAGGAGCCTAAGGGTTTGCCAGAGGCTGGGGGAAGGAACATTTGGGAGTGACATAATGGGTACAGAGTTAATACAAGAAGAAAAAAAGTTCTGGAGAGAAATGGTAGTGACAGTTGCACAAAACTATGAATGTATTATTAATACCATTGAACTATATGCTCAAAAATAGTCAAGATAAAGCCACAAGTGGTGGCACATGCCTGTAATCCTAGCACTAGGCTGAAGTAGGAAGGTGGTGAGTTTGAGGCTGGACACAAAATGGTTGATAATAGCAACCCAAAAGGTTAAGAGAGTAAATTTTGATATGTGTATTTTACTACAATTAAGATTTTTAAA